GACGTTGCAAAGAGATTGCGGGCATAAGACCGCCGAAGGCTATCCGGAAGCGACGCAGACCCAAGAGGAAGGACAACAATCTCGCGGAGCTCTTTGAAAGACGCAATGTCGAGCACCTCGTCTTTCTCGAGCGACATGGGAGCATCTGATGATAGCTGCGCTCGAGTAATATAGTGAGCTATATCTACCAGATTGACCCAGATCTCTTGGTCCGAGCCAAGATGCGACAATGCCGGCTTGATGATGGCTATGCTGGTCGACGTAGCCTTTTGCCATAAGGTTGGTGCTTTGCCTTCGCGCTGCCACACATACTTTTCTTGTATGGGCCGCGCCAAACTACTCAAGGCATGAGCAAAGGCACCGTTCTTGTACATCTCTTCCTGATCGATGTGCTTGATAATCGTGTCTTGCAACAGCGTCATGGACGCTTTTGATAGCGCAACAAAGGTCGGTTCGCGTCTTCCAGGAGACTTATCTTGTGAAGTGTAAGGTAGTGTTATGAACCGGCCCAACAACTCAATCAGATATGACGAAATCTCGGGACCGTCGGTCTTGACTATCGATAAACACTCCAGAACCCGGCTCTGGAGCACAGTCATGCTGTCCACATCAGAAGAGTAGGCGACTTCGTCGGAGTTGACAACGCAAGCCTCAAGATTTCCGAGCATAGAAGGCAATTCTGCAGCAAGTGGTTCATCTGCAAGACGATAGAGGGCTTTGAAAGCATCTGCGTAAGCTACAAATGCCTCTTGGTTGTCTTCCTCGCCGCCTTGTTGCCACGCGTCTTGAGAGGGGAAGTAGCTCCTCCACACCCCAGCCGTTTTGAGCAAGGGGTCTATACCCCATGTATGATTATTGTCAGACTGGGAAAGAACACCCGTAATGGTGTCGAAGACCGATGCTCCTAGAGCATGTGAACGATACTCAAAGTACTGCTGTAAAAGATCGAGTAGCTCGGACCATGCGTTCCCAAGCTGAGATGCATCCAGTTTATCCATATAAGTGGTATTTAGAATGCTTACAGTCTGAAGCACGGCTTTTGTTGTTTGCCCCCAGTCTTTTAACAGATCATTCTGCGGTGACTGAGTCCGGATCTCGCGCTGTACCTCCAAATTTGCCTTTACCATACCGAAAAGTATTGTGCGAAGGCAGAGTAGCCACACATTCGATGATAATTGGTCAGAGCAGTTCTCAAATATCCTCTGAATCGTTTGAATTGCGGAATTCCGTACTTCAACACGTTCGTCTTCGGTGATTGAAGAAAGGTTCAGTAGGACTTGGAGCCACAGGGCCGAAGTGGCTCCATTCTGTGAGTGACTGGAGACCGCAAGTTTGGTGTCATCAGTCTCGCCAACGACTTCTGGCAGTGAAGACAGGTCAGCATTCGATTGCAAGTAGTCTGACACATTCCAAAAGAAGGTAATCGCCTGCATAATGTCAGAAGTGAAACAAATGCATGTGTAGTTCACCCACGGTTAGAGACATGTTCAAGTCCTCTTGCTGGGAACAAAGCCTGCGCAGAAGCTCTAATAGTGTGGATAGACAAACATCTGGAACAGCAGTCATAAAATCCGAACATATAAGGCTGACCGTTGCAAAAGCAGATCGAGCAAGAGATCTCGAAATAACTTCTGGAGCGCGCTCCAACCGCTTATCGATTTGAGGACTTTCGTTCTCGTGTTTTTGTTCTCGAAGAGAGGTGTGGTCCGGTACAAATACACTCATCAAGCTCTCAATGACGGAAGCCCATCCAGCAACTAGTGACTCACCGCATTGCTCAATCACACTTTTGAGTGCTTCGAGAGCAACTTGGTGAACCCGCATGTCAGCATCACTGATGGTCTCTTTGTTGGCTCCATCGTAGTGGTAGAGGTCTGCAATCTGTTTCTGTAGTGCAGTAAGTATGCGAGCCTGGATTTCCTCACGTTGTTCATCGGACATGGATAGCTCAGCAATGTCTCGAACAGTCCTTGCCAGAATGTCAGCAGCAAGCAGCCTTGTAGTCGTCGCTTTCCGGCCATCCGTAGAAAACTGTACAACTTCCTTGACAAGGATGTTCCATCCGCTTTCTGCAGGATCGTACTGGGCCAACCTGCTCTCATTCAAGGTTGCGAGCTCTCCAATCTTGTTCAAAGCAAATGCTGAATCGCGAGGGTTTGTTTCAGTATTTAGAGAGATTCCGGAAACGCTACCAAGACGCCGCTGATGCATAATCTGAGGACGACTAGAAGATGCAGGTGTCCTTTGACCACTCTCTGGGGCCGCACCGTTCAGAAGGGAACACAAGGCTTGCAGCACTTCTGAAAATGACTCATTGGGGAAATCAACGGTGCTCTCAAACAGTCTGCGAGCTGCTGCCTGTACAGCTGAGGTTTCTGCCTCCAGCCTCTCGGTACTCCCATCTCCGTGCCCAGGTCCAGATCCGCGACTGCCTGTTTGACTTGTAAATGCCATAACCAAGTCGGCTACTTGTAGCGTCTCAAAAACGATCGACCAGGCGGAATTGAGGGTCGGTCCCAGTGCGATTGCCAGATTGAGTAAAGCCCTCAGACACAGCAGATTGCGAGGAGTTAATGCAGGTATTGCTGACTCGTTTTGGGGACCTCTATGCTTGTCTGCTGACATTGAAGAGCTTTGACTCACAAAACTGTCTACGCTCAGTATGGCCTTGGCATTAGAGAAAACCCCGGGCTTGTCAGCTGAAGCTGAAGTTGTGGACGGTACATTTGCTAGCAACAGGTTCGATGGCACTGCTGCTTTGCCCAATGTTGTTAGAAATGCATCCCGCGGTGTCGAAAGTCTAAGAAGGCCAGCGACCTGCGTGATCTTTTGTATGGACCGAACCAGGGCACGATAATAGTCGTTGTCAAGCGCGGCGTTAAGAAAAGTCGAGCAGGTCGCAAGCACTGCTGGCCAGCATTCCGTAACCAAGCTTGTCGACGTCTGCACAGAGGCGTAGGCGGAGTGCTCTGTGAGCTCAAGAGGATTTACAGGTATAGTTTTTTTGCGGAAAGACTGGGTCCGCGAAAGCCGATTGGAACCTTCATTTGGCAATGCAGCATCTGTGTCAGGCTCGTTCGAGTCATCAGTTTTGTTCTTCCTCCGGGTTCGGCCTTCGTGGTGTACGGTTAAAGGAAGGACAAACTTAGCCAGACTCTCGGAAATGTTGGTGATGCATGTCAACACCAAACTATAGATATATGTGTCTGGTAAGACAGGAGGGTCGGACTTATCAAGGTGTTCAATACAAGGAGTTTTGAGGGCGCTCCATTGTGTGCTGATTCCAAAGGGACGAGCACCGCTGCTATTGTCACTCACAGGGCCGCCTATGACGCCGGCCAGAGCACCTGCTTCAGCGACAGCGTGGTCTGATAGCGCTACTTTTCCGTCTTCGGCCCCGACGACGGCTGTTGATTGCTGACCAAGGCCAATCAGTGCGGGCTTCTCGGCAGCAAGCCGTACGAAAGCCGCCAGATTATCACCAAAAACATTCTTCTTCTCGCTTTTCGCGTCAAATAGCGCATAGATGGCCAAAAGAAGCTTAGAATCGGCGTAGATACTGCGAAAGACCTCTAAGCAGAGCGCTCTCTTCCATGTCTGAGAAGCCTCTGGATCAAGCATATGATTTAGAAGACCGAGTGCAATCTCGCATTCCGAGGGAAGTATATCAAGATGATATCGAATAATCAGATGTAGTATCCGAATTATGCGCACAGTCACTGGAAATGATAGTCGGTCAGACAAAGAGCGAATGATGAGGGGCATGAGTTGGGCCCGCAAGATGTGTATTTGCTCTGGATGTGTCGTCATGATTTCGTTGTGATTTGACAGTACTGCCTCGATGAGCTCAAGTATTGAAGATGGTGGCAGCGAAGCGAATCGCATATACACGGGCTTTTCTCCTACGATCAGCGAAATAAGATCGGTAAACATCTAGCCATGTTTAGCAAGATCATACCAACGTGGAGGCCATGCAAACCTTGTAAGCATCGTTCGCTGCTGGTCTAACTGATACTTGGCCATCGTCACCTTTTACCTCGGTCACGGTGGGGACTTCCAGTGCTTTCTCTTAAAAGGAGGTCAGTATACGATAAACGGCTATAAAGATGGCTAGACTGTACCATCTTCGGAAGCGACTCTGTCATACACAACAATGACAAGCTGTTGCAATGTTGCAGCAGCCGTGTTGCTTACGGCAAAGTTCTTTGCGTTTTGCAGACTTGAGCATATTTGAAGGACAGATGAAAGAGAATCGCCGCGAATTTCCGCAGGGTAATTTTGGAGTAGAGAGGGTAATGCTTGCAGTATCTTCAATTGGATGTCGTGGCCTAGTTACATCAGCTGAGCGCATAGGGTTCTGGGAGTGGGCGAGCTTCACTTGATGGTACCGACTCGCGAAATGCATCCAGGATTTCCGTCAGTCGTTCCCGTGGCAAAGCGCGCGAAACGCTAAGTCTCTGCAGACACGAGACTCCGGTTGACGCGAATTTGGCATTGTGAGTACTGCAAGCAATCAAAAAAGGTGAGATGAAATGAGGACGACGGGACAGATCTTGGACGCGGTCAACATATAATCAACTGACAGGCAACAAACTAGCTCACCAGCTGAGAGCTGAGCCTCGGAAGTATTAGAGAGCGACTTGAGATCCTTGAGGGCTGCCTCTGCAGCATTTCGGAGTTCGGTATTCTTGCGCTTGGAGTCCTGGATGAGGTTCCCGAGTTCAGCTGCCAAAATTTGAGCCGTCATGCTATGCGAATGACCCGAAGCATCTGGGCGAATTGTGCTAGCAAAGGAGCGACTTTGAAATGCAGGATATGGTTGTTGATGTAGTTTGGCCGACTATGAGAGGCAACGTATAGATGTCGCGTAGCGGACGTGGCCAAGCGACGGACCAATGCAGGTGCTAGGTGAGACCCTAGTCGGCCGCAACCTCGTCATATCGTCGGCACTAGTCGATCCCGACAGGCATCTTGAGGCGAGCAGCAGAGCAATCAGCTGGTCACTCGATAGCCTTGCAAAGAATTGCGCCTGGCGGTACACTACTTGATAGAGACTTGCGCACGTCACCGGCGGCCACTTCGAATCGAATCTTGCGCCTTCGCCCATAGTCACCGCCGACCATTACCCTACCTCTTGAGCGGGGTCCGTCCATCCCACTTCCTCACGCGCCACGCTTCACATCAGTACTCTCGCACCAGCACTGCAACAATGGGTGCCAAGGTTCCGCGCAACTTTCGTTTGCTGGAAGAGCTGGAGAAGGGTGAGAAGGGGCTTGGTGCTGGTACGGTAGACCTGCCACTTGGTCGTGGAGAACGCATTGCTGAGAATAGACAGAGGCCTGCTCGTATGGCCTGGACAACGGAGACGATCTTTTGATGTCAGACTGGAACGGCACCATACTGGGTCCACCCCATGTATGCGCCTCCTAGCCCATGTATCCAGTCGTGTGTTGACAGAAATCCCCAGAGCGTTCACGAGAACCGCATCTACAGCGTGTCGATCCACTGCGGCCCAGAGTACCCTGACGCACCCCCGGACATCAAGTTCACGTCCAAGATCAACCTGCCCTGCGTCAACCCTCAGAACGGAAAGGTATGACTCCGCAAGCCGATCATGGGCGAGCGCGTACTGACAAGGCTAGGTCGATCCCACAAAGCTGCCCTGCCTGGCCCAGTGGAAACGTGAGTTTACCATGGAGACCATACTCATCGAGCTCCGAAGGTAAGGACAGCCACTAGCAAACAAGTCCACCACTGACCATATAATGCATCAGATACATGGCGCTTCCCCAGAACAAGAAGCTTCCACAGCCTCCTGAAGGAACGACTTTCTAGCCGTGTTCACTAACACCAACTGTCCTGAGAAAGCAGTTCAAACAGACGTGTGACTGTATGCTAAATCTGAATGTACGACGAGACAACGTGAAGGTGCATGGGCCGGAGTTTTGGTCTGCCAGATGAACTCATAGTCTAGACAATTGACCACGACTATGAATGATATACATATTTTCTTGAAACATGGCTTCGCTTGATCTGTGTTTGATCACTCATGTCGGGACCTGTGATGTGCTTGCATGACTACACATTGCCCAAGTAGGCCGAAAGGACATGCACGTGATTTGTATCTTAAGTCACCCTGGCGCTAGAATTAAGAAATAACTGAGAAGGTAATGTGGCATAGGAAGTAGTGTTGAGTCACGGAGGAATCTGCTCAAATGCTGTGTATGTAGAGTACTGCAAACCCGGCACGTGACCATGTGTCATACGTAGTAGTCGAAATATCTCGCGTCGCAACTCGGGCTTGGAAACCTCCACCGCGAGCAATCCCCATGCATGCCCCGCTTCCTAGAGCCTAAAAAGTCAACACAACATCGTGTAGCAGGTGAGATCGTGGAAGAAAGATTGTGTACATCTTTTCTAACAGTTTTGGTTAGCAATTGCTCTTTATCGGGCTCTGCTTTTACGATGTTCGTCTGCTCCCCTCTCCGATGACGACCGCGTCTCTCTCCGCAACGCCGTGCGCAATAAATTTCGACGAAACCGGAAGATACAAAGCCCGTACCAACTGGGGTTGAGTTTCAAGGCTGGCTATGAGGTGAACTTGTCTTTTTGGACATGAGTCTGTCCACAATTGACAAAGATGTAGACGTTGGACCATCTCGATGCCTCGACGGCGGGCGATGCAGCTAGCACGAGCATACTGACGCGAATGGTGGCTCAGCTACCACGCGCTCTGATACGCGCTCCTCCAGTGAGAAGAACTAAAGACGGAGTGTCCAAGGAACCCAAGGAACGACTCGCGTGTCTCCCTCCAGAGAGGGCTGTCCTGAATGTCCGCCCATACCCAAAGACCTCCGGCCCCCGCCATGTTCCCATCATGTCTTCCGCGAACGGAATCCCCTTTCTCCGCCTCACGAAGCCTCAGCCTCCAGCTCTGAGCCGTGTTCTCCGTCAGCGACTCGAGCGCAAGATTCGGCTTTTCGACACAAAGGTGCTACTGAGCAATTGGTGGTTACCCATGTGCGAGGAGGAGGATGAGTGGGATGCGCTTATCAATGCGCAATTGCAGACGCGCGAGGACGACGTCAAATGGACGGATGCGATTAGACAATCAGAGCGGTTAAACCAGGAAGCGTATCAGAAGGATATGCGCAAGGATAGGGAGATTACAAAGAAGATGCAGAATATTGTGGATTTGGAGACGAAGATGGCACTGGATGAGGGACAGACGATTGTGAGGGGAAGAAGAAGGCGCCCGATACAGGTCATAAAGCCGAAACTTTGATAGTATAGTTTAGCCATGCAACTGTGTGCGCTCAGTTTCCAAGGCGCAAAAGTTACGCAACACACACATTATGATGTCGCCTCAATCTTGAGTTTCCCAACATCAACCTCATCAATATTGTCGTCATCATCATCGTCACCCTTCCCAATCAAGCCCTGCTGCCACAACTCCTTGCCCGTCAACTTCTTCTCCTCTTTCACAATCCTCTTCTTCTTATCCTCGAGCTCCTTCTCCTCTTCCTTCCTCCTCTTCTCCTCGGCCATCTCCGCTCGGAACCTCTCCCTCCACGCCAAAAAGCTCTCCCGTGTAACCGCCTCACCCTGAAACTTTTTATTCTCCTCCTCCTCCGCCTTGGCAGCCGCCATGTCCGCCAGCGCCTGCTTGGCGTTCTGGCGCTCTGTAATGAGGAGTTCGGCGCTGTCCTTGAGGACGGTGACGAGCGTGAAGATCATGGCCATGCCGAGGTTTTCTTCAATGGTTTCTGAGAGTGAATTGAGGAGGCGCTGCTTGTCTTCGTGTATGTCGAGGTAGGGGTGTTTGGGGGCATTGGGGGGTTGCGTTATGTCGAGGCGGGGGGCTTCGTCGGGGTAGTTGGGTGGGTAGGAGACGTTGAGGATGATGGTTGCTGTGAGGGGGGGTTTGCCCTTTTTGTAAGTTCATGTGTAATTTACACACGTTGGAGTTGCGTACGTTGTTCATCTTCGCGCTCTTCGTCTTCGTGGCGTCCGTCATCCAGTTGGACTGCGACTCGGAAGTCTGTCTCGGAAACGTCTGGAGGGTGTAATTAGTATATTTACTCGGGGTACGGTGTTGATTTTTGGGGAGCGACAATGGTTGCCTACCTGTGATTTCGTCTGCGAAGATTGACTCGAGGACTTCGCGTTCCTCTTTTTGCTCTTCGACACCCATGACGAATAAGTACGTGTGCGGACTGCAAGAGTGCCTCCGCCGGGCGGCACTTGCAAGTTGACGCTGAGGCTTGCGGTTTGGTGGGGCGCGTGTCCGCTCTTTTCCCCCACGTCACTAGCCCCGACTGCCCGACGTTTGAGAAATAATTTTTGGGTCGGCTTGTCGACTTGCAACAATTCCACAACTCGACACCAAAACAAGGTCTCACAAAAATGGCAAAGACGAAGCCAGCCGACCGCAAGGCGAAGAAGAGCGCAAAGTCTGGTGTAAAAGCTAGCACATCGAAACCAAAAGTTTCGGCTGAAGACCTCTTAATCCAGGCGGCTACTCTTCTCCAAACATCACAGCCAGAGGAAGCGCTCGTCGCCGCACAAAGAGCGCTCAACTTGGTCCAGCCTGGTACCTCGAAGCCTTCGGCCGCCGCGCTTCCCGCATTGAACCTCCTCGGCGAAATCAACGTAGAGTTGGGCGACCCAGACTCTGCGCGCGAAGCATTCCAAGCCGCCGTTATCATTGACCCCGAAGGCGCACACGATGGAGCAGAGAAATTTCTATGGATGGCACAATTAAACGAAGAGGGTGGTGCAGAGAGTGTGCGGTGGTTTGAAAAGGGCATTGAAGTACTCAAGAGGGAAATTGGTGGACTGGAGGGCAAAATGGCGAAGAACAAAGAGATTGCAGAGTTGGTGGAGGAGAAGAGGCAGAAGGTTGCGAATTCGCTCTGTGGTATTGCTGAAGTCTACATGACGGATTTGTCGTGGGAAGACGATGCAGAAGCACGGTGCGACGCGGCAGTCACCGAAGCACTTCTTTTTGCGCCAGAGAATCCGGAGCCTCTGCAGACACTCGCGTCCATCCGAATTTCGCAATTGAAACCCGATGAGGCAAGATCCGCACTAAGACGAAGCATGGAGCTGTGGAAGGACCTGGACCCAGATGACGCCAAGGTTCCCGACTATTCTCTTCGCATTAGTCTGTCCCGCTTGTTGATGGAGGCAGAAATGGAAGACGAGGCAATTGAGGTGTTGGAACGGTTAGTGGGGGAGAACGACGGCAGTGTCGAGGCGTGGTATCTAGGTGGCTGGTGCTTGCATTTGTTGGCGGGAAAGCAAAAAGCCAAGGGAGAGGAAAAGGTCACGACGTCACTGCTGCGTGCTAGTCGGGATTGGCTGGAGAATTGTCTCAAGCTTTACGCTATGCTGGAGTACGAGGATGAGCGATTGAAGGAACATGCTGATGAGCTGCTGAGAGAATTGAACGATGTACTCGGTCCTTCTACCGGTGCCGAGGAGGAGGAGGACGAATGGGAAGAGGACGACGGGGACGAGGATGAGGACATGGACGAGACGTGAAGTTTTGGTAGCGCATGAGGAGATGCGATGCAAGGCACAAGAGCCAGCGACTATGGGCAATGGCTATGGACAGTGGTTACGGTGAGGGCTTTAGAAGGGCCGCCCGTCGCAGTTGGCCACACGACGGACACCATGGCGGAGGCGCTCCGTTCCCGAGACGGAGGGAGTGTTTCTACATTAGGCCGAGGAGAAGCTGACACGGCGGGCATGTGTTGTGAGCGCTCTGTTTTTTTTCTTCTTTGGATATACCCCGCCCGCAGCAGGGGAGGCAAGCGGATGGAAGGTATGTTTATGTACCAGTACGTAGACCAAGCTTGGGCGTCAGCATTCAGGGCCTTGGTGTGCCTTGGTCCCTGCAGGCGACCAGGGTGGCTGTCAGTGTAGCGACGACAGGATGAAATTCACAGATAGAAGAAAGCAGGCTGCATTGCTTCTTCGGGCTCGACGAGGCCTGACCCGCGGGCGTGGCCCAGGCGTGGACCAAAGGAGCTCTGGATTCGCGGGCAAGGGCAAAAGGGCAGCGCATGTGTGCAGAGCTGGGGCAAAGGCGCAAAAGGGCAAGGGACCCAGTGGCGATGGCGCTTGTCGTTGTAACACCAAGCAGCGATCGAGGCGATGAGACATGGCCGGCGCTTGGCAACGAGCAGAAGGCTGCCGGAACCGCGCGAGCGCCACGGACAGTCAATAATGCTCGTCGCGACCACCCCTCAATGTCCCCACGAAGAGAACGACTGAAGCCGCGCCATCGCCCTCTGTCTGCTGCGCATGTCCACGCCCGCTGCCCGCTGCCTCGTAATCCCTCCCGGTCTTGGTCCTGCTCTCTCGTCCCGCGCCCCATCCCCGACCGATGAACGGGGCGCTCGCACCGCGCACCCTTCCACAGCTGAGTGAGGCCTCGCCGTCGTCGACTTCCAGCCCGGGCATGCCCTTTGCGAGGCCCTGCGGACCCGAATGATCTGGTATCTCCTCTATCCGCTGCGTGGGTGAGTAGTAACCTGCACCCCCCGTCCAGCCCATTCATGTAGTACATGCGCGTCCGAGGCCATGCAATGCTAAATGCCCGTCTCGCAGTACGACTGAGCCACCACGCCTATCCACATCGCACCCCATCCGCCGCGCATTCCAGGCCCATGGCACCGCCACTGCCCGCCATTGGCTGCTCTCCATCTTCGTAACCATTATCATCTCCGTCCTCCTCTGCTACCAGGCTGTCTTCCAGGCGGACAGTTCCGCCGCTGCCGGCCTCCGCAATCTGCCCAAGCATGTCTGGACTTCCACCACCCAGATTGAGGGAGAGCGCATCCCCGATGTGATTGTGCGCCAGGTCTGGGTCCATGGCGACTATATGAAGGCCATCGAATTGCCCGTGCTGCGCCAGGCTCTGCATGTTCAGGAAGTCCTTATCAACGGAGGCTTCAACAAAGATGCCGACGACGGCGCAAATGCCCTCCGAAACACTCTCGCCAGCACCACTTCAGGTTGCATGGCTGCCGGACCAGAGGAGAAGTGGACATGGCACTCGCCCTTGATGTACTGGAACTGTTCTCGGACCGCCCTAGATGACGATGGCGACTTACTCGGCACCATCAACGCACACACACGCATGCGCACGCCCCGTAACATCACGCTGCGGCCCAGCACGGTTTTTGCCGGAAAATCTTTCTCCAATACCAAGCTTCGTGCTGCCGACGCACTGGTCATTACACTTTTCGATCAGAACAGTTCAAGATTAGGGGCTACATGGGATGCGAGAGCACGCACTCTGGCCGAGGAAATATCCGCCGATTGGACCATATTCCCCCACGACGGCCAAGTTACCCGCAACCGACTGTTCGAGTTCAGATTCAAGCCCATGACTCTGAACGATGACCTATTTTTGGCGGCTTCATACCTTGTTACCGCAGTCTACGTGATAACGAGAATGAGGCAGTTGCGAGCAGTCAAAAGCTGGTTTGGCTTGCTCATCACCATCTATATGAAGGTAAGCGGCCTCTGCACCCCTATATTTCGCTGCTAACCCCCAGCTAGATGGCTGTGTGTGTAATCGCTAGTTTTACCCTTTGTACATATCTTGGAATCGATCTGGCACGGATCCCCCGGCCATGGCTTCCTGTAGTAGTTTTTTGTTTCGGTCTTGGGAATATGTATGTTCAAGAATGGTTGGGCGCAATGGCAATTACTAACTGACTGCCAGATTTCGTTTGATTAATGTTGTACTGGAAACACCGCCAGAGATGCCTCCTCACCAGCGCATCGGTAATGCACTCGGTGAGGTTGGCCATCTGTCTGTTGCCATTGCATTTCAAAACCTCGCACTATTGTACCTCTGCTCCCAGCTTGTTACGCCCTGGGTCGCAGACTTTTGCGTTTTCGCAGCCGTCACACTCGTATTCGACCTCGTCTTCCATTTGACCTTCTTTATTGCCGTTCTCAGCGTTGATGTGCAGAGGATGGAACTCTCCGACTCTCTGGATCGCATTAATCTCAGCCAAAGCACCAAGAACAAACAGGCCGAACGTCAATCCTGGCTTGGTGCTCTGAGAGAGGGTACGCTGCCGTTGAGCACACGCTTCGCAGGGACTGTAGCCATCTTCTCCGTTATTCTTGCCGTCAATTGGCATTTCTTTGACAGCAGTGACAAACTACTGTCCTTCAATACGCTTCGGCAAAGTTTTACTTCAAGAAGGCGGAAACGTTCCATCGACACAAGCTGGAGCCAGCCGCCAATCAACCAGGCTAGGACCCCCGCCGATTGGCTTCGGCTCCAAGACCACAATACGGCTCGAGAACTGTTTAGTTTCATCAAACCTGGAGCCCAAACATTTGTAGCTCGCATATACAACCCCATCCTGGTCGTCTCCAAAGGAGCACAAGGACGTGACCGGCCGCAACCACCTTCGTCCCTCATCGAAGGGCTTCGCCGCTTTGCACATGGACATGCTTTCCCAGCAGCTTTGATTACTGTTACACTCATTGCCATTGTAGCCTTGTTTATGAATTACCTTCTCTGGACAGGTCTTCCAATGGGAGCAGAGGAAAACGATGATGTAGAAACAGAGTTTTCAGTAAAGACATTGCCAACGCCACAAAACTTGGATGTTGCCCAGTTGGCTGGTTGTCCAAAAGGCCATCTTGCAAGTGTATCGCTGGATAGGAGTACTGCGATATGGCTACATGGCCGTGGGGGCTACCTGCATACTACCTTACAGACGGCATCGATGAAGCCTAGGCTCTGGCCCATCTACGCTACCGCTATCGACGATGGCGGAAGCATGCTAGCGATATGCGGGCAAACTGGGCAGATTGGTCTATGGGATATCCCTGCATCACGATTTCTTATGTTCCCACTAATCGACATTCGGGGGCAGGCGCCAATACGCTTCAGCTTTGTTACGCTCAGGACGCGAACGGATGCAGAGAGGCTATATCTTATCATTGTCAGCCCAGATGGACACTTGACAAAGCTGGAAGCACGCACAGGCATCCACCACACCAGGCGTATTGCCACCAGCTCAATCGTATGCAGCTCAATATACACCTCGGACAAAGGGGATACTAGCCTAGTCTTTGTGACCAAGGCTGGCGAAGTGCACATACTGTCACTCAAGCAGGAGGATAACTACACGTCGGAAGTGGTTGCAGGTCTGGATCCGGGCCCACCTCCTGGTAGCAATCCTGCAAAGATACGGTGTATATATGCTGTCCCCAGCCTCGGGGTCATGTTTGCGCTTCGCGACGAAGAGGCGGAGATTTTTGACTTTTCCAGCCGCGCGCTGGTTCACGCATTCCAAATTGGCCATGTGCGTCCACACTCGTTCAGAGTGCTCCACTCTGTACGACGCGTGTGTCAATGCGGAGCCCCTGCGGTCAACTCACTCTCTGTGGCATATGCAGAGCACAGTGCAAACCACATGGTGATGCAGACCTTCAGTCTGGACGATAAGACGACTTCACAGATGTGCCTTGGAAAGCCGCTAGACCGGGAAAAGCACAAATGTCGTGGTCTCGAGTGCGCAAAAGAAGCGGTCTATTCTGTCGAACCGGCTGGGGTGTGGGAGTCGACAGAGGCGCAGAGCGTAATTGGAGTCCGAAGACGCACACAATTGGCTACACCGTCATCGACTCATTCAGGCGCAGAAGAGAACTACGCAGGTGTTGATGCAGTGGCGCTTACGTCTGCATTGAAGCAGCGTGCTCAACGCCAGGGTCACGTGAACCTATCAAGACTCGGGGATGGAGCTTCGACCAAGATAGACCGGATGGATAGCTCATTCGAAGATTCCGACGCATGGGAGGTTTGGACACTTTCGACAGCGGGCGACTTCCGCTCAAGACCATTGGTGCCCGACGATGCGGATGATGCAGCGGCCGAGTCGTATGAAGATGAGTTGTTTGTAGCAGCACCTGGTCCGATTGTCAAGCTAGGCAAGCGCAGTATTGCAGTGGGATTCGGCAATACAGTCAAGGTGGTTACGCTGGGCAAGGAGTCGTTTGACGGCCTGACGAGTATACAGAGCGGTGCCTTGGACATTGGTCTTGGCTCATACAAGTGGAGAGCGCGGAAGGCGAGTGGAAGAAAGGTGCAATAACACAACGGCACTGATAGGACTCAGGGCCCTTGAAACAGGAATCGCGGTGTTTATATTATGGATATACCCTATGTGCGCATTAAGCGCAGCGTTTTAGATGGCAAGTTACTTGAGTTGATGAATGGACAAGATACATATGTATGTTTCCTCGATACAGAAGGTGGTTTCCCAGCTACCAATCGGGGCCGTCAAAGGCTTCCCACTGGCGAGATGGCGAGTGACAAGCCCCGCAGTCGACGTGTACACGGGCATGGGTGGGTGGGTTGCATACAACGGTGTTGAATGGATGTAGATGTAGGCGGCGGTGCAAGACTGATGAGGACAGACGTCATGGTGGCTGTTGAGCCAGGAACAGGCACATGTGCGTGGTGCGCCAAAGCAGCGGGATGTAATCCATCCTCACCACATCAGGCCACGCAATCATCAAAACCAACGACGTCAGCATCAACGATTATGCTGGAGAAAAAGAAAAAGAAAAAGGCAAACACTAGATAAGCATTCAGACGCCTCGGTCTCGAGATACAAGTGGGTACATAGTATGGAGTTGTGGGTTCCAGCTGGTGTGGCGCTAGGAGACAGGGTCTCGGGACTTGTGGCGCTGCTTTGCGGGGCTACAGGGGCAGGAAAGAGCGCCCACGCGACTTCCCAGAGCGGCACCGCCTAGCAATTGACCGCACTTGACTTTACCTGCCTTTCCTTACCGCGGCGCCCTCGTCTTTGCTCTTCATTCCTTTTTCACCGCCCAGCACCCTCCCCTTCTGCTACCTCCCACATTCGAATTACCAGGTAAGCCTGCCTACGACCCTGCCCAGTCGCTGCTTTCCATCCCCTGTCGGCCTGGCTTCTTCACATGCAATTAACGCCGCTGGCGTATGTCAAGCCTGCACTGCGCATACAGGACTGACGATGCACCAGAACCACCGTCACCATGAGTAAATCTCAGTCGCCCTACGATTCCCTGCGCAACATTCCGCAGTACTACGATTACGCGGATTCGCATAACTCGGCCCTCGCCCTGATACTCGCTCTCCGCCCAGAATGGAAAGATTCAAAGGACACAATTGAGTTTGTCAGGTTCACAGATGGAATCACAAACACGGTATGTACACATACACACATACAATTGCTCGTGTGCATGCTCTTGCGACCGCCCCTGCTGCCCCTTTATGTGCGCACGGCTAAGACTACGGTGTAGCTTCTCAAGGCGGTGAACAAACTACCCGGCCTATCAAAGACCGAAGTCGAGGACGACGCTATCTTGCTGCGCGCATATGGCAAGGACACTGACGTCCTCATAGACCGCGAGAGTAAGTGCATGTCGGTAACATGCTGTACAGCGCTAAAACAAGGTTCTAGAGGAAGCTCGCTCTCATTCGCTGCTTGCCCGCCACAACCTTGCCCCGGCTCTCTACGCCCGGTTTGAAAATGGTCTCCTATACAAGTTCATTCAAGGCACTGTGTGTACGCCTGCCGACCTGCGTCGGCCAGAAGTATGGCGAGGGGTAGCTCAGAGGTTGGGAGAATGGCATGCCACATTACCTATTTCGAGTATTAGCAGCATATGTCCTGCGCCTGCCCAACTCACTTCGCAAAACAACAAGCGTGAGTCTCTGGCTGCCATGGCCACACTCACACCAGGCAAACCCATTCCGAATCTGTGGACTACTATGCAGAAATGGATCCTTGCCTTGCCGACCAACACCACTGCCCAGTCGGAGAGGAAAGATGAGCTGATGCAGGAACTCGAAAGTCTGATGCAGATACTTGGTGACACGCCAGGAATCGGTGGCTCCAATCCGTTTGTCTTCGCCCATTGCGACCTCCTCTCAGGCAACGTGATCATCGAGCCCTCGCCGTCTTCCGCCTCAGCCTCTCGTCGGTCCAGTGTATCTAGTTGCTCCGACGAGCCTGAGACGGCGGCTTGTGTTTCCTTTATCGACTACGAGTATGCTACGCCTGCACCTGCTTCGTTTGACATTGCAAACCACTTTGCCGAATGGGGTGGTTTTGAATGCGACTACAGCGCTATGCCCACACGCACCATCCGTCGCGCCTTTCTCCGCGAGTATCTGCGCAGCTTCAGTACACACCAAAACAAGTCGTATAACGAGTCTGAGCTTGATCAGTTGTTTGAGCAGGTTGATTTGTTCCGTGGTGTCCCTGGTTTCTATTGGGGTATTTGGGCATTGATCCAAGCACAAATCTCGCTCATCGACTTTGACTATGCTAGTTATGCTGAGATTCGACTAGGCGAGTACTTTGCGTGGAAGAAGGCTTACAACGGGCAAAAGGAAGAGAAGAACGAGCGCATGGTTCTTAGGGAGAAGGTTTGGGCTCAGGAAGAGTAGATTACGTTCGTCTTCCCGGCCACAAAAGAAGGAGGGAAAACAACAATGAGATGCTGTTGGTTCAAGGCTAGAAGGAGCGGAAACTCATCATGGGATGAACTCATCATGGGAGGGCGCTGGGGTCGCTCGTCATCTTTCTCTCTCTCTTTTTCTTCTTCTCTTTTCCCCCAATCTCTAGCAGAGCACCTACCTTGGTCTTTTCGTTCAAATATCACGCTCCCAATCTTATCTACTACTTATTTAATGTCAAAAGAGAGAGGAATGATGAAAGAAAGAAGGATAACTCATAATATCATCGTTAGATTCATGTTTTCTGGATCAAGGATTTTGTCCTTTTTGCATATTACTATCAATGACAGGATGTGTATAGTGCTGATATGGTTAAAGCCAAGGAATTTGTTTTGCACCCATTTTCGGGCCCTTGTGGCTGCTTCGTTGGCTCATGACAAGCAGCATACCTGGTGAATTATTGTTATATGTTAGCTTTCAGATCCATACACATCTTAGAACCAACTAACCCGAGAGAAGACAAGGCATGGTACGATGTGAAAAAGAGAGGAAACTAGTCAAGTCACATAGAAAGCGCGAGTGTATACGAAGATGAAATAATGCTCTTCTCATATGCTTCCGAGAAAAACTAGTAGCTGAGAAAACCAGAAAAATACAATCAAAGCCAACCTAAACACAGACCTCGAAATGGGTATATATATACAAACCAAGTCGTAAACTTTTGATTTCCTTCCCTCATGTTTCATTTCCCATATCTTCTATTCCTTTAAAAGAAAAAAAAACCCCCCCAGAATCCTCTTTCAATAAAAAGGAAAATAAATGTAACGAAAACGAAGGGGCATTAATATCGTAATAATGGCCGAAGACTCAAAAGACGAGGAGAGAAAGGAAAAAAAACTTTTCCTTCACCCTCTCTCTTACGCTTCAACGGAAAAAAAAATCATCATTCCGCGGCAACAAGCCAATCGACATCACCAAGCCCCATATTTCCTGCATTGCCCGAATCAAGCGTCACATCGTCAAAATTATACGATTCACCAACGGCTTCCATATTGAGTAGTTTATCAAAGTCGCCGTCGTCAAACTCAGTGTTGAGGGGTAAGCTGGAAAAGAGCATTTCGTTGTCTTGGTGGTGGTTGATGTTGGAGAAGGCGCTGAGGTCGAAGGCACTCCACTTGTTCATGTCGGACATGTCGTGATGGCTGTGATGGTGAGAGTTTGAGGATAGGCCTGCTGTGGCGGTTACCATGGGGCTTTCTTGCGAGATGGTGATGCTGGACATGTGCTCGTGGTCGGAATCCGGGGGTGTGGAGGCGAGGAAGGTTTCGAGGCGGCGGGCGACTTCTTCGTCGGTCACATTTGGTTCGTTGTTGTGCTTTTCCAGAGCGTGCATGTTTGTGGTGCCGTGGTCGGGAGGTGGTGTGAGAGCTGAGGGACGGACGGTTTGTGATGTTGCTGATGTGATGGCTGTTGATGCTTCGTTGACGAGATCTAGTCGTCGGCCTGCGTCCACGAGTTCTTCTACTGTCCTTGCGGGTGCGCTCTTGGCCACGGGTGAAGTTTGGGTGGCTACGGGGGCAACGTGAATGCCTGCTTTCCGGATTGCAGCCTCAAGGAAGGCTACAGAGTAGTCAGCAGCGGCATAGACATCCCGCAGTTGACCCATGACGGCCATGCACTGGCAAAAGCCTCGTAGGGACGATCGTCGTGTTTCCTCTTCTGGCGCCTTGATGTCAAGCAAGTGGATGATAATGGCCGGAAGGAGAACAGTGACACCAGTCGTTGGCAGATACCTGACGAGACCGCCTTGTTCAAGTCGCTGAGCAATCGATGTAATTGCTGAAGCTGCGCGGCGAACATTGCGGCGTGAAACATCAAGAAGTTCGGGTTCAACGTTACTCTTCGTTGGAGCGCCCGCTGGACCACCTTGTGAGTTTGGTAGAACCTGGGGTCGATGCAGCGCGGACAATGTAGTGAAGAAGACCATGTGCAATAATGATCGTGCAAGGTCAATAGCTGGAACACCGCTTGGTTTGTCCGTATACTTTGCCTCTCCAGGCAGCTCAGTCACCCATCTCTGTAGATCCTCATCACATGCTTTGACTTCACTCGTCTCAGGATCCAGCTTCTTGGGAAGCAACATCATGGTTGTACGGTCATTTTGGAGGCCCTGGTTGTTGTTGAGCACGCAATATTGCTTGGACAGAACATGCGAGATGCACAAACACAGCCTGGCCTTTTCAATGCATAGAATGGCCAACTGTCGTTGCGCATCTACATCTCTGGCAACACGACAATCCGCTGGAAGGCATGTAACATCATTCGGCAGAGGCGAAAGCTCAAAATCGTCCAGAGTAAGCATTGGCACGTCAAAGTCCTCGCTCTTTATCCTTGTAGGTCGGCGCATGCCGAGCGCAATAAGCCGATCTCGCATGTAAGTTGACCACCATATTCGCTTCCATAGCTTGACGCGCTTGCTATCAAGGTTGGTGTTATCAGGGTTTCGGTGTAAGCCGATGGTGTGGGCAATAGATGTCGCAACACCCATCCAATGCCAGGTGTCTTTCTGGTCATCAGGAGTCTCATAGTAGTATGTCAGCAATAGCAGTGCCTGGACCAGCGAGACACGGTCGGATTCGTAATCAAAGTCGTAGAGAATCTGTCACATGGTTAGCTTAGGGCTCAAATCTCATCAAGCTTGTAGTAGCCCAATTAACGTCATCTAGTATGGGGTCGGAAAGTCGGTGTATAAGCATGCTGTCCAGTTGTTGCGGACCGATTGGGCTGCTGCAACACGCCAAGCCGCATGGTGAAAGAAGGGGTTTTGAACTTACCCTAGTCTTCTGGAAAAAGTCCTTGCGGGCATCCTTGCGTGAAGTATAGCCCGCAGCGCGCAGGTGTTCCATATCAACAAATGCCGACCCTGCAAACATGACTGCTTGATACAAGATCAAACTGACTTTGCCCTTGCGTTCGTCTCGGCCGTCTACCATGATAAGAAAGTCATGGAGGTCCAGTAATGGCATGTACGGATGAACAAATTCCACGTAGGCGCGCAGCATCTCGCTACGCAGGGTTCCCCGAGGCACATTCAGGGCACCCTTCTTCTCCAGATACGAAATCTCATCAAGCCCGATTTTAGACGGGAGAGGCTTGATAAATCTTGGAAGCTCGCCAGGCGCAGGCTTCTGCGGTAGGCTTCCGAAAAATGGAGCTCGCGGCTCAGTGGAAAAAGGCGAAAATGGTAGATTTGGTAGGTTGTTGATCTGCGAGGTAATGGAAAGCCGGCGCCGCATATCCGACATGGATGCAGAGGAATTGACACGATGGCCATGGCTTTGGTCTGGGATGTGCGTCAGTGCTGTGCAGACAAGGTTATAGATAGGTCCCACACACATATCGAGTGAGGAACGTGCTCGTCTCGTCTTGATTCCGCCTCATGTGACGCTCGCGCTGTGGCTGAGTTTAGTCCCTGGGAACCGTCTAGAGCGTCACGCGACGCAATTTTGCGAGTGGCATTTCCTGAAGAGCTGGTGCTTTCTGTGCCTTGGTCGTCGTCTTTGCTCCATTTCCTATTTGTGGAGTCAGCACGGCGTGCATAGGTCAGAATTGGCGTAGCGGCAGTTGTTGGCTGCACGCGACTGTTGCACAGGCTTGACATGCCATATGCGGCTAGGCTAGCGGTAGCGACACCTCAGCCGACTTTGCATGCCGGTGCTCACTACGACATTGCATATCGGAGCCGACGATCTCCAACTGCCGCGCAGGTCGCAACCGGTGGGAAATTTGGAAAAACCGCATTGAAACAGAATGTGACACTGACTTTTTGCGCCTGCTTTCCGATACAATGCATTCGACTTCATCTAGTCTGCAGTTTGTGCAGGGAGCGCCATGCTCGGTGACATTGCATCGCACCTTGCGAGCTCGACAGCACTGACATGCCTTGGAAGCCCTCCTCTTGACCGAACGACCGGTTGTGTGACCATCGAGGCCTGCCTGGGTAGCTTTGCGTTTTGGTGCGTGAATATCACTGTGATGGTCGGATGGCGACGCCGAATAGTCAGACATAGTTGCGGAGTGCTTGTCGTCTGGTATATCTATTGCAGGGCACGGAGGTATCTGGGGAAAGAAAAAAGAAAAAAACGTCAAGAAAAGTCCGATCACGCGTGAGGGGTGTCGGGGGCAGGCAAAGATTATAAACTCGTATTTAGCAAGAGTGGATTACACTGCCAGGGCTAAGCCGTGTGCTTGGACTCACAGACAAGCGGCGCTTCACCTGGTACGATTTGTCCCTCATGACGCCGCCTCCGTCCCCACTGGGGATCGTTAGCTGGTACCCCAGTCCCCCAGATGCGGATGGCCGGCGCTTTATCCTTGGCGATTTAGGGCGTCAACGCTGGGGTCGGAAGCCATCGGGACAAAGACCATTCTTGGGACAGCAGGTGTTTGGCAGCGTCGGCTGCAAGCCCCAATCCTGAGGTTCGAGCAAAAAAGATACCGCGGTTCATGTTCGCATGCAAAGCCGAGCGTGTGCTTGGTGCCACGCCCTATGACCTGCGGGCTTGTGAATGCCAACTGTTAATTTCTCCCTCACGTCAACGAGCAAAACAGCCGTCCCATGCCCACGCCGACCGCGCTCTATCCGCCGACCGCATTTGACAACACGTGTCGAGTCAGGGTAAAAAGGTGGGGTGTGTCTGGTGTCGTTAAGGCACGACTAGTTGCGCAAGAGACGAGGGCCGATGCGGGATCATCGTGGTAGGGAGCGGAAATGAACATCCAAGGGTCGGCGGCATTGGTCTACCCAGGGCAGACTACCATGACCAAGCCAGACAGCTCTGGAATCCATAGCCGGTGTGCTAGCCGTCTCGGGCGCACGTGAGTTGCATAATAGGCGTCTAAGCTGCGCTGCGCCTTTTTGCCATTTGCTCGCCCAGGTCCATTCCCCCGACGCTGACCCCAATAAAAATCCTGCATTGTGGGCATTAGCGGGCACGGTGTCTACTTTCCACGTACTCTGCTCCTTTGTCTGGTGGGAGCTGACCGCTCCCGGCGACGTGCTGGAGCTGACTGTCGAGCAGTTAGTGTGTGCGTGATGCAAAACAGGTGGCCGCTGATGACGTGAAAGCGGAGGCTAGAATACGGTGGGCGGCCTTGATGCAGTCCATCGGCGTTCGGAGCAAAGGCTCATGCTCTTTGTCCAGCACCTGGGGCGCGGTTGGACGAACAGGAATGGACGAACGAGTGGAGGATGATCGCAAGCCGCCTCCTGCGACGAGAAATTGCGGGGAGCGCCTTTCCTTCTCGGGGAAGTCTCGGGCGACGCCAACCCGTTGAACAGAAGCCCCTTCCACCCTTCCAGATTGCTCCTAGTCGTTTCCCGCCCCGGCACATGCTGCTGCACCTCCTGCATATATATGATTTTTTTTTCATTCGAAATATCGGCGATGCTCCTCCACAGCTTGCTGTCCGAATTATGCACCCTCTGCGGCTCATTCCGAGATACCTGGGGTTATCCTTGACTGAGCGACTTATCCATGAAGAAGACACACGACAGCAATAAGTACTCAAAGCTGCCCAGCCTGACACGAGCGGTCAAGCCCTTCCGGTCTCGACACGCTTGGGTTAATAGGCTATGTGACTTGATCTGCAGGGTACCCGGCTACTAAACGTGCTCTGGTCTATGAGCGCCACGACCGACCGTGGCCGAGAGCTCGGCCGACGACTATATCACAGCCTGTACCCAGAGTCGCACAAGGCACGAGTAGTTCTAGTAGCCCTTCATCGACGCGGCACTATTGCGCAACTCGTATTTATGTGACACACACTGTACTGCCCATGGCACCCACATGCCTGCAACACAACACGATGGACTAGGAATGCTTGCGTTGGAGACGGTGAGCAGTCGAGCGCGAGATCTTGGAACGCACCTGCGGATCCAACGATTCAACCCTCAGGTCCGACTCCGCCTCCGCTCTTGTCCGATCGAAGAAGGGCCGGTCGACGACAATAAACTTCACAAATCAAGATTCCAGGCCTCACTTATCGGTACTTTCACAGCAATGTTGTGGGGTTGACCAGGTGCCCCACGCACGCCCCGATAAGAGCCGGACTTTAGGTGCTGACGTATTCACGGAAAAGTGCTGCAGCCGCTATCCGTGAGCTTCGGAAACACGGGATGAGCAAACACAAAGTGTGGGGTTATGGTTCTGTATCCTAGTAGGCTACAAAACATGACTGCTACTATTACTACATCTCCTATAGCTTTGATGTACCTTGCGGCCTTTCCAAAGCCTTCGTTCTTGCCTGGAAGTTCTTTACCAGCTGTCGGATTCCAAGATCCAGCATAACATCCTCAGAACCACCCGGAATCCTAATACCTGGAACCTCACGGTATATCCCTATCATTTATGTTAATCATTTCCCAAGTGGTTTGGACTTAGTATCCACTTACTCTCAACCAACTCTCCTTGTCCCGACTTGGTGTAGCCATTTCCTCCAAACAGCAGTTGTGCCGTTTGTGCACACTCATTCAGAACGATACCACTTTGCGCCTTGACCATGGCTGTCAAGCCTCCCAGTTCGATATCCGCCTTCGCTTTAGGTAAGTGTACCATTTGGTAAACGAAGCTTTCCACCCATGTCCATTGGGATTCCAGCAAAGCACCAGCTTTAGCAAGGCGGTGTCGAACCACGGCTTGGTTGATCAGCGGCTGGCCAAAAGCTTCGCGTTTCATCACGTATTCCAACGCTGCGGCAAGAGCAACACGAGCCTGACGGGTTGCACCAATGGCAATAGAGAGCCGCTCATGATTGAAGTTGGTCATTCTGTAAGCCATGCAGTTAGCCGTAGAACACACGCAATGTCACAATGTCATGCTTACATGTACTTCATGCCCATTCCCTCCTCTCCAATGAGGTTCTCCACAGGCACTTTGACGTCGTCGAGCTCGATAAATGTCGTTCCCGCGGAAACTTGCCCTCCGACTTTGAGTCGGCGCATGTTTACTCCTGGATATCCCTTCAGAGGCACAACCAGCATCGACAAGCCTGTTGGTCCTGGCCCACCAGTCCTCACGGCCATGGTAGCATAATCAGCCCAAATACCATTCGTAATCCACTTCTTGGTGCCGTTGACAATGTAGTATTTTCCATCCGGTGTCTTCGCAGCTGTTGTGGTGATGTTTGCGACGTCTGATCCAGCTTCGGGTTCGGTAATTGCAATGCAAGCCCGCTTCTTGGCTGTCAATAGTTCTGGTAGGAAGCGCTCTTGTAGCTGCTGATTACCAAATTTGTAGATAGGTGGAACGCCAAACGACATGCCCGTTGTGAGGGAGCCTGGGGGTCCTGCAAGGCCAGATCGAGCCATCTGGCATTTCCATTAGCTACCTTCAAGGCGCCACTTTAGAAACAGGTTTCTCTTCTCGTACCTCGTCAGCGAAGATCATGGTGTGAATATAGTCCCACTCCTCAACCTTCACCACACCGAGAATATCATGGATCCCCAGCTTCTTCAGCCACTCCACCGGCAGAGGCGCTGGAAGCGTGGGCACCAGCATGTTCGCCTTTGCAAACGTCTCGAAGACATGTTCCGGCACCGTCTCAGCCGTATCCCATTCCAGCGCCTTCTCAAGCAAATGCTTATCCACAAACGCGCGACACGCCTTTTGCCATCTCAGATGCGTCTCCTTGTAGTATGGGGACGGAAGCCCAACAATGTACGGTGGCTCGGAAAAGGGGACATATGCAGTGGCCGACATGGTACCGAGTTGATCGCAGACGAAATTCAAACTAAATCTTGGGCTGTTAACGTAAATGACAGGCCGTTTTTCGTGTGCATGTCGCGCTGCGTCGTGTACGAACGACGCGTGCTTATGCGTTCGAAGAGCGGGGAGAGTCTGGGGTAGCTTCGGATGAGCCGAGGTTCCCCAGAATCTGACACAGCTTGTGCAATGTTGTGGACCGACGACGAATCAGCATTGTATGGCCTACCCCTCACGACTGCAATGTAAGAAACAGGAATGATATTAAGGGGGGTTACTTTCTTATAATCAAGTATTAGTAAACTTAACAATTGCGCATCTTCGGTACCCATACCCGGGATGTGGGACAGCCTTACCGAGCTGTCATGACAACCCTGTCCTTGCCATGGCCCTTGCATGTGATTGTTGGTCTGACTCAAGGCTCAAATGTCATTGATCTTACTCTCGCAAATATATCCACAGACAGATTGCTCACCAATAAATAGGTGGACCTATCCCTTGCTCACGTGCTGGACAGAGACAATTGTGCAGTTGCAATCAAATAACAAGTGCATACGGAGAATATGAGGTATACTACACAGATAGCTGTTTATCGGCGCGAAGACCAATGTAATTCAAGAGAAGTGAAAACCAAATTTGTAAAGGAGTGTGATTTTATAGGCTACATCTCTGGTGCACTACAGTACAGGGGCATATGATGAACTACAGTACAGACGTATATGCTACCATGGCCGTAGCTGCTGGAATGAACATTTTGCTCACTCATTCACAAGATGACAGTACTAAAGCCCACTTACTTAGTAATTAAGCCTCGGAGTAAAGGGATTAGGCCCCTTAGTATTTAGGAAGCGACCGTATCGGGTCAACCTCCTACGCGAGGGGTGAATGATGGAAAACTCCTAATCTTCCTCAATCTCGCCTTCCTCGCTTCCACTACGAAGAGCGCGATCTTCTTCTTCCTTCTTGGACGACGGTTCAGGCGCGGGGGTCTTGGACTTGCGATCTGCACCACGGGGAGAGTAGCGTGCACGCTGTGAAAAGTTAGTCATTTCCTGTCAAATGTAACACTGCTTGTTTACATACCTTGGTCTCTCGATCGCGCCTACTAGAACTTTCCTCGCTGTCACGACGGCGTCGGGTCGAGGAAGTGCGGCCGCCGCTGTCGCCGTAGTCAAGCAAACTAACAGTCGCCTCACGAGGATCGGCTCTGCTAACATAAGATCGTTCACGCTCCACTTCACGCTCGCGGCGCTCACGACCATAGTGATCTCCAATAGAGCTTCGACGAGAGCGCTCATACCGATCATCATCTCGGCGGTCGCGACGCGGAAGAGGAGACAGGCCCGTGCTGTCGCTGTTTCTGTAGCGAGCCTCCCTATCTTGCACTGCTCGTCGACGCTCTGCAGCATACGGGTCATGTTCAGGTGAGCGAGTGCGTGTACGATGACGGCGGTGAGAGTCAGAATGTCCACTGCGATACTCACGATCTCGATCACGTCTATCCCTGTCACGGTCGCGATCGTCGCGCCTGCTCCTATCCCGACGATCATTCTCCTTGTCCTTCAATCGGGAGATGTACTTGTCGAACGCCAATTCGCGTAGTGTATCTGATTTCAGTGCGCGGTATTCGTCTGTCTTCTCAACACGGGGACGTACCGCTTCCCAGTCGTCTGATACCGACACTGGTGGATCAAGGTGCTTGATAACAGAGCGAAGCTTGTCTACGGCATAGCGCTCGTTGGACTCCTCGTCTCGTCGTTCTTCTTCTTCGCGTTTCTTCACTTTGTTGAGGACGTAGTTGTAGATGCTATGCATGGACTGTTCGTCAATATCAGCTGTGCGAGGATCTTTTCGCATGACAGTTAGGAATTCTTCGACAGGGGTCGATGTGGTAACCTCGAAACGTTGTTGCTAGGGCTACGGTTAGCGGTGGATTGCATGTAGGTGTAGAGCTAAACTTACCTCTAGTACATCCAAGGCCCGTCGGCGCAGAGTACGGAACTTGCTCTCTTCTTCTTCGAGAGCATCGCGGAATAGATCAAGAGGAGACGATCCGCTTTGTCCAAGCATAGCCGTGTAACGGGCATCTTCTTGGACCAGCTCATGGATGTCTTTCCATTTACTGCCAGCACGTAGCGCGCCTTTGTGCCTGAGTTCGCCAAGTAGCTCTATGAACGCGTCGCGGTTCTTGCGCTCGATGCGGCGTTTGATGCGTCGCTCGGCTTGAACTCGGTCATTGTGCTCACGCTGGAGCTGCCTGATATGCTTCTCAAACTGATCGAGGACATCCAGGCGAGTCAAAGTCTTGAACTTTTCACTCTTGAACTCCTCGTTGCGCTCCAGCTTTTCCTCGGCCGTGTGCCAGCGAGTAAAGGGCTCCAGGTCCAGTGCCTGTAGCAGACTCATGACTTGATCAAGTGCGGATTCTCTACTCGCTTCCTCTTCTTCCTCATGCGCCTTCTTGAGAGAGATGATGTATTCCTCGAACAGGGACCTTCGCTCATTGTCGTCCTTGGCAGAGCGGAAAATGGTCTCGTCTTCGATAATGGGAAGAGCAGTCTTCCAGCGGGTGTAGTATTTGATCTCCGGGTGTGAACGCAGCATCGCAGTAAAATCAGAGCGCAGCTTGGCCTGGCGGTCCTGCTCCTTAAGCTTTTCCTGGGCACGCAACTCTTCGCAATACTTCCGGAACGCCTCCTCACGCTTCTCAGGCTCTGGTATGGCGCGCCAGTTGGGGTCGTGAATACCAGCACGCACAGCCTGCTGCCACGACCAGTCAGGCTGGACCTTGATCTGTTTAAGCACCTTGATGAAAGCAGCCTCGGCCTCGTGGGGCGTGGAAAACTGAAGCTCGGCTCCTGCTGTGAAGCTAATGTTGGGACGATCGCCGGCGAAGCCAGACTCGCGATCCCGGTCTCTATCGTCGCGACGGTCATGGCGGTCGGGACGGTACTCGTCGCGTTCGGGGCGTCTGTTCTCGTACGACGGCGCATTCGAGGGTGGACCCCCCGCCCAGCCAGATGGACCAACTGGGGGAGGTCGCTGAGGCGGCAGGCTCTGCCTCATCTGGTCGATTTTCTGCTGAACAACATCGGGAACAGTCCACGTTGTCTGCTTGGTCTCAATGTGCGCAAAGTATCGTTTGCCATCTGCCCAGTGGGCTGCCCAGCCGGTGCCAGGGAGTGCGCGCTAGTCACATAATTAGCTGCCATTTGACTAAAGAGTCTATGGGAAATATCCTACCTCGACGTCGTCTTTCAACTCGTCGGGCTTCTCCCATGTGGTGAGCTTCGTGATCGTGTTGTAGTAGTATTCCCTGCCATCTGGAGTTTTAGCACTTGTCCAAGTGGAGCCAGACGGCGCCATTGGAGGCGGGTATCCGTTCATTGCGGTGAGACTGCGGCGAGAGGTGATGGAATGTCACGCGTGTGCGTGTCGTCGAGCTGGGTTGCGAAGAAGCTGTGGAAACAACTTATTGCCGCACGGACCTTGTGGCCCGCACGGATCTTGTGGCTAGCGCAGATTACTGGACCCCTAGCTCAGGCACCGGATTCACGTGCCCTCCCTGCTATTCACTTCGACGTTGCCATGGCTGCAGATACGGCCGAAGCGCAGCCGCGTCAAAGCCTCGAATTTGTCGAGAGCTCTGTGCTGGAAGCGGTCGTTCCTGCAAAGTCTGAAATCAACATCAAAACCGCCATCGAGTCTTGGGATGGTGCGGGACATGATGATGATGGGTCCATTCTACCTTTTCTGGAGCAGCGACAGGTGCTTCTCCTCGGTATGTCTCGCCAGCTTACCATTCAATGCATGTCTCTTACTTATGCATAGGCTTCTAGATGAACTACTAGCTGTATATGTCGTCTTTCGAACACCGCTGTTGGAGGACTCTACCTTAAAGGGATATCTTGAAAGATTGGTGGTTAATGTGGAAGCATTCGCCTTCAGCACTGCTCCCCCACCTGAGCAAGACCCAAAATCAGGAACCCCAAAGGAGCTCATTTATTCTGGTACCATCAAGCCGTCAGGTGAGCCTAGCATTGTGTGCCATGGTGAGGGTGACAATGCCCATACCTTTGTCATCTGGAAGGTTGATATATTCATTGGTAAGGTCTGCAGATTACCTAGTATTCGCAGTATCTGATTTCAAATAGCCCGACCTCAGGGCAGGTTTCATAAGCCCGCAGTTTACTTTCAACCCACGGCTTCCTTCAAGCCTGCAGAAAACCCCAAAGAAGATGCACTGGAAGACGATTATCTCCCAAGCCGGGTGCCCGCACCACTGAATCTACTTCAATCATTCGAGAACGACCCTGCTCTCGTAGGAATTCACCCCCGGCTTTCGGCCATGCGCATCAGCAAAGTCACGCCGAGTGCTCCCGTTACAAGAGAAATGGTCCGCCCTATCCGGAATGGCCAAAAGCCTATATTCAGGGTGCTCCCACCGCTCATATGGAGAGTAAGATATTCGAGACTCCATGCATCAGTGAATGATCTGTCTTTGATCGCTTCCTTGGACCTAGAAGTCGCCCAGTTCGCTACATACGATGTTAGAATCAAGGATGTTAGGCTGACATTACATGGCGGCAAAACCAAAGAGTTGAGCACGGAACAAGACGCGACAGTTAGCCACAAGCCTGGCGACCAACTGACGTATCTGTACAAGATTATTCCAGATCTTGCCCCTGACGGAACCCCATCACTTGGAACTAAGGGTCACTATCTGATCCTCAACGTTGAGGCCAATGTCACCATGTCTAGCGATTGCCGGCCGGACATTGCAATTGAATGGAAAACACCCGTCGATTTTGCATCTGAACAAACATCTGGCCATGCCAAGGCTTTTCACCGTCCCAACAGCTCTATGAGTCAAATGACAAACGCATCTAATCTGGATGCTCTTATTGGGTCCGATTCTCAAGATCAGCACGGACATGCACTCTCGAGTAACGAGGTGAATGTCACACTTACGATTTCCGGTCCACCCAGCATTCAAGTTGGCGAGATCTTTACGTGGGACGTATTCATTGTCAACCGATCCGATAAAATGCGAAGGCTGGCAATCTTGGTCATTGTAAAGCGACCAAGGGATGGCGAGAAGAAGCATAGATCACATCCGTCTACATCATCCGTAGGCGGTCCTCGTGTAGAAAGAAGAGAGCTATTTGCAACAGCTGTCACGGATGAGAATGTTGTTTATGCCAAGCAAAAGAGTACAAGGACAGAGACGGCAGATTTGATATGTTTGACGACAGACATACGCGTAGGGTAAGTAAACGTAAGCTGAATGGCTGCGGATCGAGGATACTAATTGCACACAGACAACTTTCGCCTGGGTCTTGCTATACGGCTGATATCAAGTTGCTCGCGCTCACTGCAGGTGTATTGTCGGTCGAGTCCATACGGGTGGTGGATCTGGTTACCAACGAAGCTGTAGACATCCGCGACTTGCCCAGTGTTGTCGCTGTGGCGCCATGAGTCTGTTCTAGAAGCCATTATACACAGGTCATCCTTCCAAGCATTATTGAAGATTGAATGTATTATGGAGTTTTGCCTGTCTTGAATGCATGTCTGTAGCAGCCCATGATGCTACTTGTGAAGTTGGTGAATGCTAGGATCACTTGCTCCCTCAGTAAGTGTGCCGAGATATCCGGTGTTGTGTCGGTCCATACTATGGAACCTTACGTGAATAGACGGTGAGGCATCAGACGCACATAGGTAATGAATAGAAATTTGTAGAACGAGCCTGCAGCCGCTCGGAGCTGGGCTGGTTCCAGTTGATGCCTGTCCCTTGGTCTATGAAAGCCGTCATTGGTCGCGGCGCGTGAAACTCTCCGCCACTGCACCATGATCATTCGTGCATCAACCCCAGGCAGGCTGCGCCTTCTACCCCCTCATACTGGTAGACTGCTCTTCTGCTCACAAAAGCATCCTTATCCGCCTACAGCCTTCCCAGCCTGTGTCATACAGCCTTGAGAGATAGAAGAGGGTCACTTATCGCTGCACACGGACCTTCGGCTGCGTTTCAGCAACGTCATCGGGCGCCATCTGCGAGCAACGCTACACCTAGAGCTTTTTCACGGGACCCAGCACTTACCATGAACAGCACCAGACACAGACTGCTTTACCAGCTAAACAGTCGCTGGATCTACGGAAAGATTGTGAGCGAAACTGCCGACAACCGCCTGACCATCTGCTGACAGCGACCAGCCGCTGCTCCATTCGATTGTCTTTCTTTTGCAAATGGCTGCCGTGAGTCTGCTCACGCGCAAGTACAACCAGTACTATGCAGCGCGACCAGTCCTCACCACCATGATCACCAACGCCGTATGTGCCCTCCTCCGCTCCCCGTAAGACTTGCGCGCATTGCGACCCCCGTATCGCACACAGTCGCCACTCCGAACCATGCGACCGTTGCATCTGTTTCGACGTCAATCTCGAATACATACATAAGGGATATACAAAGCAGGAACTAACAGTGATACCAGGTGTTGGGTGGTATTGCGGACACAGTAGCGCAAACACTGACTGCTGTGCGAGAGCGCGCCGTTCGCAAGAAGGGTGGCCCAGCTAAGGACGACTTCCTGGCGATTGAGATCCATGACCTTGACAAGCGCAACCCCTTCAACGAGAACGATCTCATTCCCGACTCGAAGAAACTGCCGCCGCCCTTTGATTTCGAGCGCACCACCAGGTTCATGTCGTACGGTTTCCTCATGTCGCCCATCCAGCACAGGTGGTTCAGGTTCCTGTCCGCCACATTCCCCGTTACAAAGACTGCTACATGGATGCCGGCATTGAAGCGTGTGGCTTTTGACCAGTTCCTGTTTGCTCCGGTTGGTCTGGCTGCATTCTTTACCTTTATGACAATTGCCGAGGGCGGCGGTAAGCGAGCCGTGCAGCGTAAGTTCCAAGATGTCTATGTGCCTGCGCTCAAGGCCAACTACATGGTCTGGCCAGCAGTACAAATCATCAACTTCCGTGTCATGCCCATTCAATACCAGATTGTGAGTTGCCCGGCCTCGAAAAACTCAGGTGAGACTAACACTCTGCCAGCCTTTTGTATCCAGTGTGGGTATTGCCTGGACTGCTTACCTTTCCCTGACCAACTCCGCCGAAGACGCCTAAGTCTCTCCAACTACACAAACAGACTTCCCTTGTACAACTATCATGGAAACACATGAGCTGGATCACGATGATCTTGATTTGCTGCCATTGACCTTTCTGTGCATCTCTACAATCGAATGGGCATTTGCGCGGCGTTGGGTCTGTCGACCTTTTGTTCAGAGGAGCTAGGGTTCGCGTATACAACTGTCAACTAGATCAGAATGAAATGCTATTTCCATTGTCTTTTAATATTTGTTGAACATGAGGGCATTTCGTAATGACTCTGTTTAGTTTGAAACGCTAATGATACTCGGGACCATCAATGTACCGTCGGAGAGCGAAAGGAAATGCTAGGAACTGCAAGCTCTTGTAGCTGCTGCTCTCCGAAACCAGCCGTCACTCTCGGCCGCGGGGGAGGGGAGCCTCACTCACGCGTCCTGCGCGGTACAAGGACAGCTAAAACATTTTACTCTGGCTAACAAGGCTTGGCTTTAGTCACGCCGGTTTTCTTTTTGTGGTTCGATAAGGAGCAAGAAGCTTTGCATGCAGTAGAGGAGGAACTTGTGGACTGACTGCCCCGCTGCAACCACCCCCACCAAGCTTAGCTACATACTACAACCCAGACCAAACACCACCCGTTCCTCTCCTCCTTCCTTAGTCCACATCTTCTCCTGTAAGTGAGCCCCCAAAACGATGTAGATTACCAATTGCGCCCGAATTCAAACTGCTTAAGAGCAAGAGCTTTACTGATGCGCCATCACAGGACACTCCCTACACACGTCATGTCTCTCTCCAACAAGCTATCGATCGCCGACGTCGATCTGAAGGGCAAGCGTGTCCTGATTCGAGTAAGGCAATCTCATGATTTTTTGTACAATTCAGAGGTCATATCTAACCCTGACGGCCTCTAGGTCGACTTCAACGTCCCTCTGGACGCCGACAAGAACATCACCAACAACCAGCGCATAGTCGGCGCACTTCCCACAATCAAGCACGCTATCGATAATGGCGCCAAAGCCGTCATCCTCATGTCCCACCTTGGCCGACCAGACGGAAAGCCAAACGCAAAATACAGCCTCAAGCCGGTTGTTGCCGAGCTGGAGAAGCTCCTTGGCAAGAGCGTTACCTTCACCGATGACTGCGTTGGCAAATCGGTCGAGGATACTGTCAACAGCGCCAGTGGAGGTCAGGTCATTCTCCTAGAGAACCTGCGCTTCCACGCTGAGGAGGAGGGCAGCTACAAGGACGACGAGGGAAAGAAGCAAAAGGTAGACAAGAGCAAGGTCGACGAGTTCAGGAAGGGTTTGACTGCTCTGGGCGACGTCTACATCAGTAAGTGATACAATGAGTGCTTTGGTGGAAACACATGGCTAACCGTTCACAGACGACGCTTTCGGCACTGCTCATCGCGCGCACAGCTCCATGGTTGGTGTCGACCTTCCACAAAAGGCCTCTGGCTTCCTTGTCAAGAAGGAGCTTGATTACTTCGCAAAAGCACTCGAGGAGCCTAAGCGACCTTTCCTTGCCATCCTTGGTGGTGCAAAGGTCTCTGACAAGATCCAATTGATTGACAACCTGCTTGGCAAGGTCAATAGCCTAATCATCTGCGGAGGCATGTCCTTCACCTTCAAGAAGACTCTTGAGGGCGTCAAGATTGGTAACAGCTTGTTCGATGAGGCTGGCAGCAAGACCGTCAAGGACCTTGTCGAGAAGGCAAAGAAGAACAATGTCAAGATTGTGCTGCCCGTCGACTATATCACTGCCGATAAATTTGACAAGAACGCCAACACTGGCTATGCTGAGGATAAGGACGGCATTCCAGATGGCTGGATGGGTCTCGACTGCGGAGAGAAGTCGATCAAGCTCTACAAGGAGGCCATCGACGAGGCGCAGACCATCCTCTGGAACGGTCCTGCTGGTGTGTTCGAGTTCGACAAGTTCGCCGCTGGTACCAAGGCAACACTTGACGCCGCTGTTGACGCCGCGCAGAGCGGCAAGATTGTCATCATTGGTGGTGGTGACACTGCTACTGTGGCGGCCAAGTACGGTGTAGAGGACAAGCTCTCCCACGTCTCAACCGGAGGAGGCGCGTCGCTTGAGTTGCTCGAGGGTAAGGATCTGCCCGGTGTCTCCGCCCTGTCAAGTAAGTAGAACAGTCACTCAAAGAGGTGAATGATGGCTCAAGAATAGGGAAGGTATATCTTCGAAGTTATGATGATGTAGCTATATAGCTCTTTGCGGTTTCAATATTGATGAACCATGCTTCGATTGCCGTTTTTTGTTTGTAGCTTCAGACATGCTGTGATGCTTTTTGTGGTATGACCTGACCGCTCAGACCGCGTCGTACTACACCCTCTATTGCCCACCATCGCCGCTTTTCGGTGGAATGCTATCGTGTCGTAACATCGTGGTGGTGTGTTGCTCATTTGCCCAGCTTCTTCAGCTCCTCCCTGTATGCTGTCAGCTCTGGCACTACGTAATGTCAAACATAGCCCTCTTACCTCAGCTGCACTGCGAAGTCGTCGTTCGTGTCATCATCATCCCAGCTCTCCTCCCACAGGTGTGTGTTGCCGTTGGGGATCTGGGTCTCCTCTTCTGTCCAGTCTGGCCCTAACCGTTAGCTAACCCTACAGCCAACTTATCTTGCTGCCCTACCTTCGACAGGAAAGTCCTCAAACTCGTCGTCCTCCTCCAGTTGTGTCGCGGGCTTCTTCTCCGGTGCCAGCGGTTGCTCGCCGTTCTTCGAGTCGTTGGCCACAGCCTTCTTCATATCATTGCTTCCTTGCGCTGAGCCGGACATGATGTTGGATCTGAGTAGGGCGATTGGTGCTGCAAAGTAATCTCCAAGTATCTGGATCGATGGGTGGGGATGAGTTAATGTTTGTGCTTCAGTAGTCTTGGTAGTAGTCGCGGCTCTAGCATCGGCGGCGACGGCGGAGGCGGGCAACTTACCCGCAGATCTAAGCATCACGTGATGCTCATTGAAACTCCGGTTCGCGTTTTGTGGGTGGCATTTTAACTCTCCAGCTGTACCCGCTGCTTGGCTTCCCAGGTACAACATGTCTGCCTAGAGGAGCTAAATCCTTTTTTCCAGGCTACCCATTACTATATTTGTAACACTTGGGTGTAAGCATGCGTGGGCTTGCGCAGGCGAAATGTACCAATGCCTATCTGACCCGCCGGCAAAGAGCATGACGTACTGCGTTTAGCTCCGACGCATTAGGCGCGTTTGTCTGGATGGCTTACTAGGTTAATGCATACATAGATGCCCGCTCATCGCGTTTGCTGGGGCTATCTCGCTGTCCGCGGACCCTTGTAATATACTATACTTTCTCTCTCCCTCTCCGCCCTTAGCTTTTGCTCCGTTTTCCCTTTCCCTACTTCTCTGCTGGCTAGGCTTTTATCTTCTCCCCCGCCTACCAGACTTTGTTTTTAGCCAACATGTTCAAAGTCGGTGGGTGGCTCAAGGGCCATACGCCTGGGCATTCGAAGAGTCTGGACTCTTTAGATGAGTTTGCACAGAGTGAGGCTTGTGGTATTCGTGAGGCAGAATAGGTTGCTGACGCTCGGTAGTTCAGGAAGCTATGGGTGGTAGGAATCCTACGGATCGTCTGCTTCAGGCAATGTGGCATACAGGACTAATGGTGTGCCAACGTAGCTGTTAACTTTATCATGGCCGACGATATCGAAAATGCCGAAATTCACCTTAACAAGGGCAGTTCGCCATTTCACCAGGTATGTATCAACGTTCAACTTGCAGATATGTTACATGTAGTGCTGAGCTTATAAACTACAGCTCGGAGCTGGTGTATGTGTCTTCATAAGGGCAACGTTGGGTTTTGAACCGGAAATCGTCCGCGAAGGTCTCGTCAAATGCCCATTCCCGGTCTTCCGGAATTAGACTGACATGGAGCATAGCCGCCAATGCCTTGTATGTAGCCGAAAACTCAGCCTACGAGCAACATCGACGCGCTAGCAAAGACCCAAACTCGTATCGGTCGTCGATCTACCCCCCGGGTACTGAATATGTGGTATGCATGGCGGAAGCACAGTTGATGAGTGCGGTTGTGGGCGTGCTCAACGAGAGTTTGACCGAGGCCATCAAGAGTTTCTACAAGCTGAGAAAAGCATATATTGCGTTGGAGGGTGTGATACAGAATGAGAAGAACTTCCTCAAGGAAAGAAGTACAAGCAGTCTCAACTCGGCAGGGTCGGGTGTCTCTTCAAAAGACGGATCAGGCCCTTCGAGTTTGAAGAGTAGCAAGGTTCAGGACTCCAAAGCTGCTGCATCTGCAAACGCATCTGCCGCAGGCTCGACGTCCGATCTCAAACAGACTACGACGATTACCCCGGAGACAAAAAAGGCCGCAAACGACGACAACGACGATGATTTTGAATTTGTGGACGCTGCAGAAGACCGACCGGACGTTGTCACACCTTTGGAATATACAGGCCACATCAATGTCCCTGTTGACAAGAATGCTTTAGTGGAATTGGAAAGTGCTCAAAACAGTGTTGACGTGAAATCTAGTTCGGCACCGGATCTGCCTGCGGCGGGAGAAACATCGTCTTCCTCAATGCCAAACGCCATCGAATATTTTGAGCAGCTCACACTAAGCGATGAGGGCGAGGACATTGCTTCCTTTAGTAATCATCCAGTAGATACGTTTGTTCTGTCTGGATCCAACTTTTGTTTTGGAATGTTACTACTCATTCTCTCATTTATACCGCCCTCGTTTGCTACCTTGCTGAAAGTGGTCGGCTTCAAGGGTGACCGGGATCGAGGCATGAGGATGCTGTGGCAGGCGACCAAGTTTCACAATATCCATGGGGCTATGGCTGGTGTGGTCCTGATGGGATATCTAAATGGGTTTACAAACTTTTGCGACATTCTCCCATCGCAAGGTGAGGGCGCATATCCCAAGGAGAAATGCAAGGCTTTGCTCCGCTATATGCGCGAGAGATATCCTCAGAGTCATCTGTGGCTTCTCGAGGAATCACGAATGCTGGCATCTGAGAAAGAGCTCGAAAAGGCTGTTCAATTCATAGCTGAGGCAGGCGAGACAAAGCTCAAACAGCTCGAGGCCCTGAGCTGGTTCGAACGTAGTCTCAACAACATGTACATGCACGACTACGAGGCCGCTGCCGCTGGGTTCGAGAAATGCGTTACCCTGAACAACTGGAGTCACGGACTATACTACTACATCATTGCCGCCTCCTACATCGAACTGTACCGCAAAAACAAGACCACAAACCCCACCGAAGCAAAGAAGTACGGCGAAAAGGCCGAAGAAATCATGCAAAAGGTAATTCCTAACACGGGCAAAAAGAAGTTCATGGCCCGCCAACTCCCCTTCGACGTCTTCGTCAGCCGCAAGATCCAGAAATGGGAAGCCCGCGCCAAAGAATGGAAGTGCGCCCTCATCGACGCCGTCGGCATCTCCCCCATTGAAGAAATGATATATTTCTGGAACGGCTACAAACGCATGCGCAACGACCACCTCACCGGCTCGCTCGCCAACCTTGCCTGGAGCGAATCCCCCGCCAACCCGTACTGGGACAAGGAGAGCATTGACGAGAAAGCCATACTGCATGTTCTCCGCGCTGCTACGCTACGCAATATGGGGCAGCCGGCTGAAGCCAAGGCTCTTCTTGAGAAGGAAGTGTTGTCGGTGGATCGCACGCTGCTGACTGGGGGACTGAAAGACAATTGGACAGCGCCGTGTGCACGGTACGAAATGGCGGCGAGTATATGGCGCGAGGCGGATGCAGAGGGCCATCCTGAGGGGCATGTTGAGGCGTTGGGGCAGTGTAGGGATTGGTTGGATGAAGTTACGAAGTGGGGAAGTTATGACTTAGATGCCAGGTACGTTTTTTCTTTCTGTCTTTCTTTCTTTCCCGACCCTTCTTGTGGTGGTGGTGGTTGCATGGTACGTGGACTAATACTTTTGTTGCAAATAGAATCGGAATCAGGATTACGACTGCGAAGGAGACGCTGAGGAAGTACGGGATTCAGTGTTGATTATGGCAGGCGGGGGGTAATGGCATATCGGAAGCTGGTATAGACTGGGACGCGCGGGTGGGTGTTAGAATACTACGTCATATGTGGGGAAAATCAGGTACATATTAAGTAGTGTGTACATATATGCAAGGTGATTGCTGCACGACATTCTCGTATTACTATGTATTATCTTGGAAATGGCGGCGATTAGATAAGGGTGGCGATTCGTCCTTTTTTTGTTTTAACAAACTTACTCAGCTTGCCAAAAAAAAAACTTCTCCATCTTTTTTTTTCAATACATTACAATAGTAGAATTTACCTGTAAAGAGGCAAGAAATCCCAAAATTTATTAACGGCTTCAACTGTAAATAGACGGCTACTCTCTTCCTGGTTTCCCGTTTTTTTTTGACCCACCTTTTTCTCTTTCTTTCTGCTACGCCACAATTTCCCAAATGGGTAATTAACACCTAAATGATCGAGTATAGGGACGCGGGTGGGGCTGTATTGTTTTACTTTTTCTCCTGCCTCTTCTTCCCAACAATTCCCATGCCTCATCAATTTGATTAATTTGCTTTTTTTGCCTCGATCCCTTACACGTATACCTACACAGGACTGTAACAGGATATATGTATACGTATATTTCAATTTGCAGTCTGAGTTGTTTAGGGAATTATTTAGGGGATATGGTGTTACGTTGTGGAGTTTGTTTGTTTTGGGATTAAGGTTTCAAGGGTAGGGGGGTGCGGGCCGGGTCGTAGGTGTTTGGGGCGAGTTGTTCAGGAGGTGGAGGTAGTAGTAGTATTGGTTTTACGTCCTAACGAAGCCTCCCAGGGGGCATAGGGACGGGCGAAGCCTGGGGCTTACAGTGGTTGCGCACTGCCCAGTTACACCTATTCTACGAAACTATATAGTTGGGTTCTTCTCCTCCTCGCCCCGCCATTTGGGTGATTCTGAGTGGTGTCAGTGGGGGGTACCCTTCTGTTCTGTGCCACCGTTGTGGCTGAGGAGGTGGAGGTAAGTGGTGGTGAAGGGCGGGCTAACTGGATAGAGAGGTTACTCCCGTTTTAATTTCCTCATGTGGATGAAGAGGTTCTCGTGTGGGGAGTGAGAGGATGGGGCTCTTTTGTGGATGGCTTGGTTGGTGCCAAGGTGGGTTTGTGGATGCGGCTCATGGTTAGTCTTTGCCACATCCAAATGTTGAACGTGGCTTCAGGTTATGGTTTCCTGGGTGAATTGACTTGCTTTGTGTATCAGTTTACAATGAATTGAGTTGTTTGGGGTATAATCGGGGGCCTGAAGATAGAATATAGACATTAATGCCTGAAGATAGAATATAGACATTAATCATGCAATAAGTTCACATCATATAGGCAAACACCACATAGGAGTCAGACTACGTAGAATCACAATAATGGCAGTAACTGCAACACCATGAGATGGACCAATGATCCACCCTCACGACCTTCTGACTCTTACCATCCCACTACCGCCGAACTCAAAGTACAAAGGCACATGTTGTGCTGAGCAAGCATTGTGTAAGCGTGGTCAACCCCAGTTCACAAGCAGCAAAAAACCCACTGTACAGACCGAACAGCGCCGAAAAAGCAGCGTATTTGACCGACTAGAATCAACACATTTTCAGATTCCCTTCCGTTTGCAGTAAACAACCAAGTGGTTGGAAATATCAAAGGGGGGAGGGTGGAGCACGGGGGCAGAGGGCAGGGCAGAGGAAGAGGGGGGGCCTGAACGCATCAGTGGCGATGTAAATCGGCCGAGGCGGCGTGGGCTTAGTTTTGTTTTTTGTGCCGAAAAGAGAGGACTCGAAGGAAAAAGAAGGAGAGAAGAAAAGGCCGACGCCGATGGCGACCGATGCCGTCGGCGCGAATGTGAGCCATAGAAGGGTTCGAGGTGGGCCCAAGAGGGAAATACGTCCGACAGAGAAAGTCCGAAGTAATGCGACTGCAATCAACGGGCGGGTTGTACTGAGATTGGACGTCGTTTTTGCCGTTAAGGGTAGGTTTGGTAAGACTGTGACTTGGGCAGGTGCCCGGGGATAGAGCGGAGATAAGAGGCGTGATGCAAGAAGCGCCTCTGCTGAGTCAAGCTCTTGAGGCAAATGCCTGGGTGATCTTGTTGCTCTGACTCAGGTTGTGGGTTGGTGATGGGCATGATGGTTGACATGCACCCCTGCATAGTAGCCCAGGGACTGCGCTTATCGACCTTGTGTACTGTAGTAAGTACTACTACGACAGTATATACTGGCTTCTGTGCAGCAGTTTTGAGATAGCATCGACTCTCGCCCAACACCACGAGGCGTAAGAATAGCCACCATGAGATTAAGCGCCCAACCCACACAATCTCACAGTCTCTACGATAAATAAGTACTCACGGAGTCATAACCCTTTTCAGACACTCGATTTGTGAATCGTGCAGAGTGGAGTACAAGTATCGCCGGTTTCACGGGGCCGTGATTAACCCGGACCTGGCCAATCGACAACGGGGCCGTATCCGATAGGTCGGGTATAGGACTAAGGTTACAGCAAGATGCTGAACATATTGGCCCGACACCAGTGACACAAGGGAAATAGAGTTTGGCGAGGGCTCGTGAGGCTGTTAGTTGATAGTATCAGTCAGGGCAGGTTGATTGGTGTTGCTGGGATGATTTGCGTCCAGGCGTGCTGGCGACCTGACGTGAGAATGCAGGATGCGGGGGAGATGCGGGGAGATGAAGGGCCACGAAATCAAATTAGAGCAGTACCTGGATGAGGAAAGGACATGGTGAAACAGCTTGCTTTTGTGATGTATTGGAACTACTTGGATGGTCTGGACTCTTCTCCAGTCACGCAGTGGGACATGTCGGGGCCTCCCTCATTCTGGCTCGACAATGACCGGCGGGGCTTGTCGCTGGCATACTTTGTGGGAATCCCTTTTGCATCTCTTCTAGGACGCCTTCCAAGCATGTCACGTGTGGTTGGCTGGTGCGGCGGTGGCTGCTGCTGTGGTTTGTTGTCGTTCTCAGTCGACCCTTCTCTTTACGCTTCTTCCTCCATCCTCACCCCCAATGCCACTGACAACATCTTGCACCAGCTCCCTCAGTTGGCTCTGCACCTCCTCCGAGTTGTAGTCGTCTCTCGCCGCCAATTCTTCAATCCGCCGCCGTATCTCCGGATCTGGCGCCTCAGCGGCATCTTCGTCCATAGTGCCCATATTGACCTTGACACCACCGGGTAATGGCGGCGGGGGGTGTACACTCTCAGTTTCTACAAGGCCCGCCGGCATTGGCTCAGAGCCAGTTCTCCGACTCCTCAGGTACTGGTAGACTTCGTGTGCCTCGCCTTCTTCCTCGCCAATCTTGTCTTCGGCCGTTTGACCCTCGCCATTGCGAATGCTGGTGTCTGCACCCAGCTCCTCGACCAGGCATTTTGCGACTTCAATTTTTTCGGCTGCAAAGAGGGGTGTTTCGCCGTCCTCGTCTAGAATGTTGACGTCGGCATTGAACTTCTGAATCAGGTCGCGCAGCACGGCGAGTTGGTTGTAGGAGGCGGCGGCGTGGACCAAAGAGTAGCCATGAGCATCGCGCGCCGAGGCAAGTTGCGGGTGCTGCACCAGCGACGTGAGGATGGACTGCGGGCGGGTGTCGATGAGGTTGAGCAACAGGTCAATGGTTGGCGGCGGTAGCGCCATGGTGGGCTGGATGCGCTTGTCTGACGATGGCCGGCTTTCGGGCGCGCTGGATGTCCGTATCTGTCCGTATTCGGACGCAGGAGACGCAGTCGCTGGGGCTGAGCCTCGGTGCTGCACGACTGACTGTACCGTGCGTATTCGTCTGCCTATAGGCACAACACAACTCCGGGCCAGCCCTAACAGCTAAGAAAAACCAAGCGCAAAGGATGACGTGGGCGGAGGTGCGGAGACTTCCCCCCTACCGTCGCAAATCATGTCCTCGACTATACCCTGGCCGTCCTAGCACCCGCATCCCGACAGCCATTGTCATCATCATTCTCATGACCATCATCATCACTCCACGTATGGCAATAGTGTACTTGTAGCGTACGTCCATGTCCGGCCGACGTCCAGCCTGAGCGCATACGCCAGTACGCCGGCGCAAACGCAATAGGCTGGCAACGCTCTGGGCGCCTGCTGAGACGCCGCCGTGTCCATTCAGGCCACCGCCTCGAGCCCTGCCCTCACAGCCTCAAGCCGTCCCGCTGGGCACTTGGCAATTATCGCGTGCCCTCTTGCCTGACCCCTTGAACCTTCACTCCGTCATTTGTGATCTCTCAATCACCATATTACTCGCCCATGGTAACACCATTCATGCTTGCTCCCGCTCCACACTACACACGTCAAACTACGCTTGCTTTTCTTGTCGGTGACACGCACTAGCACTTCAAATCATACACAAAACACTCGACACTCCCGCCAAGATCAACAAGTTCAAAGCACCCGTCCATGCGCCTGTCAGTTTGAGCCGTCTGCAACATCTGACACTCGCACTACTTGGTTATAATCATCTACCTCCATAACCCTCTACTTCGTTGGCATCGTACACATTCTTTCGAGCATGGTAAACATGCAGGCCTTCAACGGAATTAGCAGACCGTCGGCACGACTGGTCGCATCCTACATCTTTGACTGGATCGTCATCATCGCCATCGCAGCCGTGGCTGCCGGCTGGGAGTATGTCGAACCCTTCCGCCGTCCTTTCTCACCCGTCGACCTCAACATTTCATATCCCTACCAGACGAGCGAGATGATACCCACCTGGCTTCTGGTTATTGTTTCACTCGTTGCGCCTGCTGGCATCATCATGGTAGTATGTCTCGTCTTCGTTCCTGGACCCACGGCCGAGCGTGGAACACCAAAGGCGCTTATTTGGAGGAGGAAGCTCTGGGAGTGGAACACGGGTTGGATGGGCCTGGCGCTTTCACTTGCGACGGCCTTTTTGATCACTCAGGGCATGAAGAACTTGTTTGGAAAGCCGAGGCCAGACCTGCTGTCGAGGTGCAAGCCAGATCTCAATCGCATCGCCGACTTCGCCATAAACCCCGTTGTTGGAGACATTTTTGATCCAGCCTGGGTACTCGTCACTTCTGGCATTTGCACTCAGACAGACAATGATCTCCTCAAAGACGGCTTCAAGTCTTTCCCAAGTGGACACTCCAGCTGTAAGCCATTTTTCGCGCTCCTGTTGCCGATGAGCTTTTGCTAATTCATACTCCTTCAGTTTCATGGGCTGGTCTCCTCTACCTCACTCTCTTTCTGGCTTCCAAATTCAGCGTCGCCATCCCCTTTCTTCCACCCCGTCCCTTCTCAACAAACCCAGCCCACACTTCGGCCGTCACCCCATCCAACCTCAAGAAGCAAGCCACGCTGCCAGTGCATAAGCAAGACACTTCTATTTCATCCGCAGCCTACAGCGACGATGCTGTAGTCCCCATTCGCTACCAAAATGCCGCGCCGCCTGTATACACTCTGGTCCTCATTCTCGTGCCTATTGGCTCTGCTATTTACATTACTAGCACACGCTACACCGACTACCGCCACTTTGGCTTCGATATGCTGTTTGGCACATTGATCGGCGTAACCTGTGCGTGGTTCTCATTCCGCTGGTACCATCTCCCCGTCACGCGAGGTGCGGGCTGGGCCTGGGGACCACGAAGCTACGAGCGTGCATGGGGCATTGGCGTAGGCAGGGGTTCTTACGTTGGCACAGAGGGATGGAGCAAGGCGGGTGCAAGCGCAAGGAGGAGGACAGATGCCCAAATGGGTGCACACAGTGTGGACGACAGCGAATTGGGCGTCCTGAACCATAATGGTGTGCCACATGCTGGAAACCCACCCAGCTCAAGGCCTTCAAGGGGCGGTGCTTCCCGTGATATGTAATCCCGTTTTTTGTTTTCCACTCAGGACGTTGTATCAATTTTTAATGTCAAAACAAGTCTAATGAGACACGGCATGACGGTCACTCATTTTTCTAGCAGCTTAGACTGTCTTTACTGCACTTTGTACATAGAAAAGTATCATACCCATCTGCTTTTACATTTTTCTTCTGCCACCACAATAGACTGTAATTTTTGGAGACCACAGCATTGGTTATGCTATCGTTTGTCGTATTGATGCTGTCAACTCTCTACTACTAACAAACATTCCTCTCCTCTCGCAAATACCAAGTAGCAGTATATGTAATTCAAACAAACAATTGCCACCACTTTTTGCACCCAATCACCATCCACAACCAACAACTCCTGTATCGTGATATGTAGTCATAGTTGCATAGGCTTCTAGTGCCAACCTCAGCAAAACTAGATCCCTCCTTCCGTCACTCGCTTTACCTTATCTACGTATACGACACACTGATGCTTTCCTGCATTAGCCCAAACCCCCCCACACACACACTTATGCATACACAACCCCAGATCCACACCACTAAATCCCCAACCCAAACACACCATGAAGAACATGCTGTGCCATAGTTATGCAAACAAGTTGCAATAATATGGATGCCATGTATTCAGCATATCTGCCAAAGGCTACATCTTACCTCCAGGTCTCATACAACACATATCTACTTGGCTGGCAAATAGCGTTAACCCTCTTGTTTAGCTGGAGGTGTGATAAGGATATAGTAGTATTCGCGCGGACTATATGTAGTTAGAGGTAGGTAGGCTTACGTCAGATTCTACTTTTGACGTTCATTTTGTCTCATAATTTCGTGTCATGGTCTTCTATTCTAGGCAAGCAAATTCCCCGTAAAAGTGTATTTGTGTCAGCTACATACAATGTATATGCAACCTTTTCTGCAGAATCTATGTCACTGTCAAATTACCTTCGTTGCCTAGTATACGATTCATTGGGCCATTCTTGTGTCATGGGCTATGAAGAATTTTGAAAGATTAGATATTGTGTTCATCTTATTACAATTAAGTAACAACCGATATAATTATGAACCGAACAAAAACCTACAGTTTCATAGGTAACTGGAAAAACACATGAAAAGGCCTGTAGTCTAACAAGAGGCACACTAACAGCTACGTCCTTCCAAGTGGGACCAGCGTCATCATCAAACGAATCATACCTTACTTACCAGCGGGAGATACAGGGAGATGTCGCTTTGGGTCTTGTCGCTTTGGGCTATGGTGTCATGGCAAATCAAATATGCTTTTAATGCTCCTATATATGTTTCTCAGCCAGCTGGCAGCTGAATACCTTTTCAAGGTAGACCTGAACGCCGGTGTTGAAAAGACGTGCTGTTCCAACTCTTTCTCCGCTACTCTTCAGCCCAAGCATGGCTATCAAAGTGCGCTTATTGTTGGCTGTGTAGGCTGTCTCTGGCTTAACACTACCTTGCCCCATCGTATCAGCTTCAGAGTAGAGGTTTCTACTGGCCTTTCTTTCCCCTGGACCTCTCCTCTTCCCTCTTGCGGTAAATCATGGCCGTGAAGGGGTCCTCCCACTTGCATGCAATCGAATAGGCAACTGCTACCAGCCCAGAAAGGAGAATGCCAGCTGGCTTGCCGTACCAGATTGCAGTAGCCAAGAAGGACATTGTAGAGCCATGGTACATGGGAGAGCTGGAGACATTGAAAGGGAAGGTTGTGACGGGCTCATCCATGAGGATTCCGAAGTAGTCTCCCAGATAAGTACCAGTAACACCAAGGGCCCACATGGAGGTTACAACGAGGACATTTCCAGTAAGGAAAAGCGGGATTGCCGAGTACTTGATTGCAGGAGACAGTAGTGCTGGGTGTGTGGGTTGGTCTGCAAGAGCTTCGTTGTAGCTGGGTTTTGTTAGTGGTTGAAGTTGATGGACGAAGGATTGAGACGCCCCGCAAACGACGTTTCACTCTCTGTACGTACAGGTAGTCTCTGAAAATACCCAACGAAAAGATGGTCACAGCGAGCCCATAGCAACCAAGTCGTGAGTTACCACCGAAAAGTTTTGTAATGGCCTTATTGTGGTATTCTGTCACTGGTTAGGCTCATGTTGTGTGTGTGTATTTGCATGGCTGCCCGCAGCAATGATAGTCCAGTGCGTACCTTGCTGAGCTGCAATGCTATACCACATGTCAGTATGTTCTACGAAAATTCGACGATACCAACTCACTTCCAAAAGGTAGGGTTGAATGCAATGCTGGCCGCAGATACTGTTGCCTTGTAAGTCTTTGTGTTTGCAAGTGGGGCAAGGCTTAGTCGCAATACTTACTCCAGAAACTGGGTTTGCTGAAGTCGATGTATTCAGACATGATTTCGAGGATGACGATGCAGAGCTTGCACGAATAGCGACCGGGCAGATGAAAGAAAAAGACGAAAGTGACCCGTGTCAAGAGGGATTTGGGGATGTTGTCAGTTTACCGAGCTCGAGCATGTGTCGCTCGGCAGATGTGGAGCTACTGAACGTCATAGCTCGGCTTTGCGGACGAACCATCCTGATGGGGAGCGTCACGTGCAGTTTGTGGACATTCATAATTTAGTCGCGTCATTACAACGTATTCAGTGCTATCTGGGGGAAGTGCTCAGACTCCTAGCAATTTGAGCAAAAGAAGAAATAAAAAACAAAAAAAACATACAACAGCGGGGATTCGCCAGTAGTCACCCACCTGACTACTAGTCCGCCGGTCGAAGACTTAACGTGCGGAGAACGAACGGGATCCAGTGCTAAATTTCGCCGATGGTCGTATGTGCCAGAAAAATAAAAATGTTCGAATTTCATATTTGAATATCATGATATTTCGCGGACTTCGAAATCGAAGCGAGCTCACGTGACGTTATCGATATTATGGCTTGGCACTGCCACATGGATAGAAACCACGTACTCCCCTTTCGTATATTACAGAGGCTCACAGTTTTCCAAAAAAAAAAGATGGGCATGAATA